AGGAAAAATTTCTTTACTGAAAGAGTAGTTAAACCTTGGACCAGGCTGCCCAGGGAAGTGGTTGAGTCACCATCCCTGGAAGTATTTAAAAGACGGGTAGATGCGGCGCTTAGGGACATGGTTTAGTGGGCATGGTGGTGTTGGGTTGATGGTTGGACTCGATGATCTTAGAGGTCTTTCCCAAACTTAATGATTCTATGATTCTAAGCACCTTATCCCTCTGGAATGAAGTGACATCAGCTGTCTAAGCTCTACCTTGACTCATTAGACATTGATTTCTGAGCGAGACTTAATCTGTTGACTTTTGAATAGATTAGATCTGCTGACCTTTGAGAAAGACTGCCAGGACAGGCTTTTCCTACATGTTCAAACTCGCATTAGCACTGATAGATGAGGAGGAATATTACTTGAATCTGCTTTCATCATTGACAGGTTATTACTGAGTGTTACTTTCTGATCTGTTCAGGTTTTATATGTACTTGTGATTTGTAGAAGACTGTAGAACTAATAGTAAAAGCTTTCAACAGATTTATTTGAACTGAAATAATGAGACATTAACATTACAGAAGATGGCTTAAATGTATATGTCCATATTTTCTAGAAGAAAGTTTAACAATGGTGTTATAATTGTAATAATATAATTGTATCTGTAATAAATTTAACAGTAAAACAAATAAAACAACAGCATGTCATAACGCACATTCTCTTTTCTCAATGCCCTCATCCAGGTTTCTCCCATCTCGATGTAATGCTTGTGGAATGCTACGATCCAAAAGGCGACCAGTGGAATATCCTCCAGACTCCTATTCTGGAGGGTCGCAGTGGCCCTGGCTGCGCAGTCCTTGACGACAGTATTTACCTTGTAGGAGGCTACAGCTGGAGTATGGTGTGTACCTGCTTTCTGCAATGACCCCTCCATTCCTTCTGAGCTCTTGCAGCCAGTCTGTGTATTACTCAGATGGGACGGAGAGGAGACGAGGGATGAAGTAGCTGCAGCAGCTGGTTTTGGTTTGGTTTTCAACGTGTGGAGAACATGGACTATTTGTTCACGTTCCTGCTTTTCTATTTAGATGAGTTATTGTTAGACTGTATTCACTGATATGGAGTAATATAAAGGTCAGATTAAATTTGGCAAAAGTGATTGACGGGACTGTATGCTTATAGCTCTGCTTATAAGGCGCTTGTAAAGCAGCCTGCTTTGCAGAGGCTGGGTGTTCAGCCCATACGAAAACCAAACCTCTTGAAAGGCTCCTAAATTAGAGCTCAAAACCATGAGTCACTTTCAAACACCTTTCTTTAAAGCTGATGTGTGACTTGGATTTTACCAAAGCCACATTTAATATGACTTCTTGTTCTATTACAGGGAGCCTACAAATCTTCTACGATTTGCTATAGTCCTGAGAAAGGGACTTGGACAGAACTAGAAGGAGATGTTGCTGAGCCACTTGCAGGACCTGCTTGTTCAACTGTCATATTGCCAGCCTGTGTACCGTACAACAAATGATAGTCAAGGAGCACTGACACGAACACTGACTGCATTTGGGAAAATAATGACGGGTGACGTAAATATTTTATTAGAACAGGATTCCTGTTAAAACAAAGCTACCATAATTGACCCCTTATTCCATATTTATGCTTTAGGAGCAAACTAAAAGAAAACAAAAACCAAGTGTTGTCCCAGCTCAGATAGATGCCGGTGTCTTATGAAGCAAGTAGCTAAAACACACCGAACATTACATGCTGACAGACTGCCATTTCAGACTGATTTTAACTTTTTCCTGCTGCAGAGATATTCCTCACGTCAAATTTAACTTTAAAAAAAATGAAGGCTAAATGTTCAAATACAGCCTGAAGAGACAAGATCAGTATTGTGCATTGTATCTACCTGCATGTGATCTGTGTTGAAGTCATGAGGATGTTGTTTTCATGAATGCTTCAGAATTCAGATAGTGAAAAGCTCACACTGCATTGCAGAATTGTCTCCTCCTCTGTAATCCTAACCTACAGCTACTTCACATGCTCTGCAAGCAACACAGCATCAGAAGATTATAAAAGGTAAAGAAATAGCATTCAGTTTTTGCACAGCTTGGCAACTAATACACTCTGCCTTCAAAGTCCCCACGTGTAAGTGCAGCGGAAAGCAGACTACAATGAAAGACATGCTTTACAGAGCACTTCTTGCAATAGCAGCCTAGGGATTAGGATCAAATTCTTCTAATCACACTTGTGTAAAGTCAGAGTCATTTCACTGAAATCACATGGAATGACTGTTTTTACATTAGCACAACAGAAATTTGGTCCTACACCTTAAATTCTGGTTCGTAAAGTAAGTTATTTCTGTGACGACTTAACGAAGCACCAGCACCCTTACTTACTTTTCACTAACCTGATAGGAGCATCCATGCTAGTTGCTTCCAAAGACAAGAAGACTCCATTTAACTATAAGTGTATTACTTTGGACTCTTAAATGATTATGCACAATTTTGGAGAGACACTGGTAAATAGTTAAAATACTCCTGTGTGGTTGATCTTAAAATGTACTCTGAAAGATTTTTACTATTAATCCAAAGTAATAGGAGGCTAGACTTTCCACTGCCTTGTAGCTTGTGTAATTATTTACACGCTGCAAAATGAGTTCAGAATGCTACCACATTGGACCAGTAGCATTTAGGACTCACTTCATGAACCCATAGTTGCTTGCACAAATCAGGCTGTCCACGTTTTAAGCTTGTGTCTTTCTGTCCTGGCTTTGCAAAAGCAGTGACAAAATCTGAGCCTGAGTCTTCACCACCTTGCAGTTAACATAATCGTCCACACCTCAGCAAAGTATATGCATAGTTCTTCCATTGTGGTTTACTGGTGCTGCATCCATTACCCTCAGGACCATCCTCTTCGCTGGTATAAACTGACATTGCTCCGTTGAAGCCAACGGATGTACTTTGGTTTATGTCAGCTAAGAATCTGGCCTTTAATTTGCCTAGTTGTAACTGGCTGCACCAGATAAGAGGCAAGGGAGACTCAGATCCTGCGTTTTCAAGCCTGCGCATATCTTTCATGATAGGACTTCATGCTAGTGCATTAAGCAAGGAGCAGGCAACTACTGGAGGTTGATTTCTGCTGCAGAGGCAATAGATGGGAGGAAGAATTCATTATTTGCTTTGCAAAATAGAAAGAGGGTGAATGTACACAGAAATTACGCTATATATTGAAGCTTGAGAGCAATATAAATAACGGAGAGCAAATACCATGGGACTGTTTCTCTCTGGCATCAGTCCAGTTTTATTGCCGTGCAACTCCCTTGCTTGCAGCAGAATTACACAGTTGTAAAATTGGAGTAATGCAGTAAAGACTGATACGGTACAGATGCAATAACCCAATTGATGAGGTCGCTGCACGCCTGGAAAAAAAATGTTTAAACAAAATAATTATCTGAAGATGCTAATATTTGAATGTGCCGTTGGGGAGTTTTCCAGTGAGCATCACTAAGGAACTCATAAAGGTGGAGTGTATATCCTGAAATCTCAATCCATTTCTACTCTATAGTGCAATCTTAGTTGGTTTTCTATTTATTTATATTGTTCAGATCCAAGGGATCCCTTGTAAAATATATTTGGTGCAATCATGACTTTTTTTTTCCTTTCCTGTTGAAAGTATATAAATATAAATATATATAAAAAGGAAACTGTTAAGGTACTAAATGAGGAAACCTTGAATGACATTTAAGATCAGAATAAGGTCTGCCATTAAGCACTGACTGTCACCTGTCTCTACTAAAACGTACCATTTTTAAAGGATATTTGTTGTCCTTTTAAGTGGTTCTTTTTTTTACCAAGATAATTTGAAGATTTATGAGGACTGTATGTAAATCTTTCTATCTTTCAGGAAGGCATGACCAAGGAAAGTGCTAACTGAATAAGTCACACAAAGAATGTAAATTTTGTACAGTACTAGACTGTGTAAATGAAGCTTGCTTGTAGGGGGGAAACTTTAAATAAAACTTTATGTACTAATTCAACTGTCTGCCATATTCCTACTTATAAAGTGTATGTATAAATAATATCTACATTAAATTCTTTGGAACTTTTTTTACCATGTAGATGCGTAAACTTCTTTTATTTTGTGGCCGTACATAACAGCCTCACTGTTCTCCAAGTGTCATCACTCAGTGCTTGTAAACGCAGCGACGCAGTAAAACGTAGTGAGTCAGAGTCTTCCCCTGAGCGCACGTGCCCGGCCTGTGCTTCCAGCAGGGAAAGCCCCACCTGCGTGCCCACTTGGCAGGGTCTGACCTCAGAAGCCTACCGATGCGGTCAGATGCCTGCGAAATGCCTCTGCCTTGCGCGGCTCTGCCTGTTCCTCCGTCCCATGGTAAGATAAGCGAAAAGGACGCCGCCCGGTTAAAAGCTTTGGGGAATTTAATGCTAGTCATGGTAATTTCTTTCCTCTTCAAAATGTCCCCCCTGTGATTAACCCTTCTAACTATGGGTATTTCTGTTCTTGGAGGGAAGTGCTGGCATGGGTGAGCAGTAGAGGAGTTGGGACAAGAGGTATTGCCAGGCTGAGAAGACAAGGTACAGGCAGGGGATTTACCAGGGAACAGAATCGTTACCGATACCACTTACTGCACTACATGTATTATTTATCAGTGCCTACCAACCTTTGCCATGGAACAGAACGTTCCTATGCAAGCCAAGTGGGTGCACTGAGCAAACAAAAAGGCAGTCCCTGACCCCTGTGCTTACAGCAAGTGTGAGCTGTGCTGGGGGGTGGCTGAGGGTGCAATGATAGAGTCTGGTCTAATGAGACGGGATCAGTCCTGTTCAAATCTTTTATGAGAAAGGGAGAGGTGAGCCAGCAGCATCTACGGTAAGATGAATAGGGCTGTTTTATTAATGACTTTATTTCAGAATAGGAAGGAAGACAGATTTAAGCATATTTTTTTTAAAGTAATGCAGGAGAAGAAGGAAGAGAAGTTGGAACCAGGGGGCAGAGATATGATTTAGAAAGGAAGGGAATGAAACGAGAAAGAAGAGGTAAGAACAAAAGGGAAAAATAGAAAACGAGAGCCTGTGAGAGGAGAAAGTGGGAAGTTCTTGTGGATCGAGGGCACAGAGAAAGTAAGGGCTGGAGTAATGAGGAAGGCAAAGATGGTTTCTGAGAAGTGCACATCAGAGCAAGCCTGGAAAGAAACGACAGGAGAGGCAACACAAAGAGCAGAAGAGAAACACGAGAAAATGCAATAAAAGAGGACATGAAATAAACATGAAACTAAATAGGCACTTGGTGATGGTACTGCTCCTATTTTATTCAGCTAATCAGTTATAGTGGTCTAGCTGTCAAGGCAGAAGGATCAAATCAGCGGAGTACTTAGGTGTCGCAGTGTGCAAGCTTTCAATGCGCAGACTTCAGCACAACAAAAATCATGAGTTAGAAGGGTTAATCACGGGGGACATTTTGAAGAGGAAAGAAATTACCATGACTAGCATTAAATTCCCCAAAGCTTTTAACCGGGCGGCGTCCTTTTCGCTTATCTTACCATGGGACGGAGGAACAGGCAGAGCCGCGCAAGGCAGAGGCATTTCGCAGGCATCTGACCGCATCGGTAGGCTTCTGAGGTCAGACCCTGATTTGTCACAGCTCTAAACACCACAGCTCTGCAGTGCCTGGGCTTGCAGCAAGCACCCAACAACAGTCGGCACCTGTGGCAAGGGAGGAGAGCTGCTGCTGCTGCTGGTGAGAAGCATAAGAGCAGACGTGTCGCAAGTCCCAGTCCCCGCTGGGCTGGAGAGAAGTATCTTCTCCATTTCTGATTCACAGATGAGAGTTGCCTTTGGGAGTTGGACACCTGGACTCTTCCTCCATTCTTCTTCTCTGCTGTCCTTCCTGCCAAACACTAATCTTCTCCTCCTCCTCCTCAGCATGACAAACTTGCCTAAATACTTTTGTGGAGCTGGGCCTGGAAAACAACAGACCAGTGAATGGAGCTATTTCCCTGGCCCTGAGCTGTGGTCCCATCCACTGCCCCAGAAGCGTGAGGAGGCTGGGTTGCTGCTGACTTGCAACCCATACGCGTGTCCTTAAGGAGGGCAAAGATTCAGAAATATGCTTTTCATTGATCATAGCATTGTATTCAGAGGTACTGTGCACCCACCTCCCAAAAGCTGGCATTGCTTTCCTTCACGTGTTTGTCCCCCTTCCTGCTTTTAATACAATGATTTACTGTGCTAGCTGCATCTGTGAGCCAATTTCTGAGAAAAATCCATGCCAAACCTCATTACATATACCAGTTTGTATTGTATTATAATCACTCACCAGAATACTTCTCTAGTTCTCTTGCTTTTAAGGGACAGACCATATTTCAGCTTGCAATTTAAGTGAAGCTTTCCGGGTACAGACAAAGGAGACAGAAATCCCAAACAGTGCTAAAGAGGGCAAAACAGTAATTGCTAACATACACACTCCTGAGCAGTTTTAAGATACACGTTCTCATTTCTGTTGCTAAGT